CCGTTCCGAACCAAGATATGAGCTATAAGAAGTCAAACCAGGAGACCCTTTTCTATTTATTTTCACGGTAAAAAAATTCTTAGACCACCTAAAATACCGGAAAAGAAAGAGAGAAGAAAGCTCTCGGTTCAGAACGGCTTATCTCGGTTGCCTTTGAGAATTTAAAAAAGTAGTCAACTAAAGAAATATTTGCCAAAACATGTTAAATATTTTGTTAGTTGAAAACTTTTTGATAGCTCTCAAAGCAAGCTGGATACAATGCTTGGAACATAAAACAGCAACATCTGAATGGGTTATCCAGTACTGTAGGCTCAGAGCAGTATACCTCGGTTGCCTTTCGAAGTTTTGAAAAGCGGTCAACTAAAGAAATATTTATCAATTGATATTAATAATTTTGTTAGTCGAAAGCTTTTTGATAGCTCTAAAGGTGACTGAGATAAACCACATGGATCATATAGTTGGGGAAACGGCCTCAATTAATTTAGGTTTAACGGGAATCTTGCTAGCAAAACGAATTTTCTCAAAAATATTCTAGACCTAGTTTCAAAAGTAATATGTCATACTAATCTCATGTCCCAAGGTCCTATTCAAAAAAATCTAGAAAAAAAACCCAAAACCCACAGTACCCCCACCCCATACCTCAAAAAAAGAGAATGCAACAGCCTGTTGCACCATCTCTTGGAGCACAAACACATAAAGTGACATCCCCGAGTGATTGCGCACCGGCTGTCTCGAGAGTCGATGGACCGTAGACCGGGGAGGGACATAAAGAACCCGCCCCTCTCCTCACCCCCTCGAGTAAGAGGTCACCACCCGGACAGTGGGAGGTGCAACAGTGCGCAACGAACGGGGAATATATGAATGAGAATAGTGATGGAATTGTAAGAGAGGTGTGTCCCTGTGTATGCAATGGCATTTGAATATCTTTAGCCATCCCCCTATTCATATGGTCCCCCCTCAGAGGGGGGGGGGGGAAGGACAGGCGGCTCTTATTGAGATGATGGAGGTGGTGTTCGGGTTAAAAGGGGGACACGGAAGAGACAGCTATTGCATAAGATAGGAAGGTTAGGTAAGGTAAGGGAGAGGTTGGGTAATGACTGATAAGGTAGTTTGACTAGCTGTTCGTGGCGAGACCATTTAGTCTCTGTGCCTTTGAAACGCTTCGAGCCGCTTTTGGTGATACGGTACGTTCGTAGGTTAATTTTTAAAGGCACAGAACACAGCTTTTCAAAAAAAAACAACCAGGATTCCAACAAACTTATTTGAACTGAATAATGTAAAGTTTTCACTGATTCTCGAAAATTCTTGTTCCAAGTCAATAAAACAAGTCATTTTTTTCCTCAACTTTTATAATTTTGAAATTTGGTTCCGACCGACCCTGTAGACCCTGCATGAAGAACTGAGCATTTTAATGAAAAGATGGCTCGGATTTTGTTATCAGCGGCCGGCAGTCCGACAACCCTGGTTCCGATAAGAAATCAATTGTCCTAGCTGAACCTAAGAGGAACTAAAAATTGTTAACTGGCGGAAATTTTTTGTCTCATTTTGTACAGTTTGTCAGTTGGTCACTTTTCGATAGCTTTATTGGTTGAAGCTGCAAAACCAGTTTTTATGGGCTCATCAGTTTTCAACTTTGAACTTTTTATCAACCCACAAAAATAATGGGTTTGGAGTTACTGTAGCTCAATTTGACTGATTTTGAACGGTTTGATTTTTTGGCTCCGCGTCACTCCGAAAATCACAACTCCGAAACTGTGAAGTTTTGCAACACTGACATTCTGAAACCCGTTATTATGACCAAATGAAGAGAGTCGCCGGTAAAATTCAAAACGGTCCGGACTGGAGAAAATGGCTAGATTTTGGTAACTTTAATCCCAGTCTAACCCGCTTTCGAGCGGGTTTCAGAATGTCAGAGTTGCAAAACGCCACAGATTCGAAATTGTGTGTTTTGGATTTTTCAAATTTCGAAAGCTCGGAAATATGCCTTTTCATTTTCTGATCATTTGGAAACAGGGCATTTTGGATCTTTTTTGGAGGTTTGGTAACCAAAAAATTATTTGGAAAGCCACCATGAAACTGTATTGAAACGAAGGAATAACACAAATTAACAAGCTTGAAAGTGGCTTTGTTAGGATTGTTGCACCATGATCGGCTCAGATAAAGAGCAATATAAAGGTGTTGTAATGGGTTTCGGACCTCGAAAACCTCAAAGATGCTCATCCGTAAAGTGTGGGATAACAGTGATTATCCGTGAGAAAGTCGGTCATGGCTACTGTATTAACTTATCTAAATATAACTGCTCAGTCCGTCTACATGTCTATCTTTCTGTCTGCCTATCTGTCTGTCGGTTTGTCGGTCTGCCTGTTTGACTGTCAGTTAGACAGCCTTTTTTGACAATCTCTATCTCAATCTCTGTCTGACTGTCTGCTTGTGTGTCCGTATAACCTATCTCGTTCATCTCATTCTAACCTACACAGCTAATGCACGTAACCCGAAAAAAAGTCTGCACCTTCTCTTCCTTTCCCTCTGCTTTAAAGCCCGATTCCGGACAGCCACTGTCCTAGATTTTCAAACTTCTCGGGTACCCTTCTATTAGAGGGTTTCCTATCCCCCAATCCATCACTGTATCCGTTGTACTTGTCCTCCTTTTGACCTCCTTCTCCCGTCCGTAATCTCTCTACTCACCAGGTGCTCTTCCCTTTGCATATCGGTCTTCTCTTTTTGAATTGCGTAACAACACGCAATTGGTTACATATTCATCAGGCTCCTGGTGGGGCAGCAGGGGAGGAGGAGGTTTGAATTTTTTGTTGAACACAGGTTTTTTGTGGATTATATGCACCTGTTGAATAGTTTGGATTGGTATAAGGGAGGGAGGATAGACAGACATACAGATACACAGACAGACAGGTAGATAGGAAAGAAGATAGACAGACATGGTGACAAACAGACAGACATACAGAAAAACCGTATGCCAGATAGACACGTTCTGGCACACCTACTGATATACAGACGTGGTGACACACAGACAGACATACGGAAACACAAACAGACAAGCGAATAGACAGACAGGCAAAGCGACAGACTGACAGATACACAGACAGACAAAATGACACAAAGATAGACATACTGACACGCAGACACACCGACAGACAGACAAACGGACATACCGGTACACAGACAGACAAGGTGATTTTCTATCACGGAAACACTACCAAGAGTTCTCTTAAGAGACGAAAAACGTATTCCGATGTATTCCTTCTTCACGGACAAACCGACACACAGACAGAATTGCGTTGAAGACGTTATCAAGGAAAACACTCATGAATCTCGTTTTTTTTTTGTTTTTTTTTCCAGGTTTCGTGTTTCGGTAGCACTAACAGATATCCGGACATACAGAAATGACTACATACAGACAGACAAAACGACACACAGACATACGAACGAGCTCTCAGTCGGACAAAAACATATAATGAAATACAGACAGGCAAACCGATATACAGACAGACAGAAAGACAGACAAACCAACATACAGACAGAAGGACAAACCGATATACAGACAGAAAGAAAAACCAATATACAGACAGACAGACAAACCGATATACAGACATACGAACCGACACACAGACAGACAGACGTGACGATATACATACAGACATATCCACCGAAAGACAAACATAAATACAGGCAGACAGACAAATTGACACACAGACAGACAAACCGATATACGGACAGACAAACCAATGTACAGACAGACAGACAGGCAAACCGATATACGGACAGACAAACCAATGTACAGACAGACAGACAGACAGACAGACAGACAGACAGACAGGCAAACCGATATACGGACAGACGTACAGACACACAGACAGACAAATTTTCATTGAAATCGCTTCTTTTCCTAATTAGATACAGTACCACTTATCCTCCCCCTCCTTCTTAAGCCTCAACACGTGCCTCTTTCAAAAAAAAAGTGAGCACATGTGTTGAGCGTCTTTTCTTTCTTCATCTCCCTTTCGCGCATTACCGACAAAGCTGGGTCCTTGCCCTCTTACGGGGCGGTGTACCGCCCTTTTCTTTCTCTTCTAATTGATCATCGAATTATCATTGGGACCCCATAAATAGGAGCCTCAAGAAATCCACTTGTGTCAATCAAAGACATTCTGTGGAGCCCTCCCCATTGTTTATATAGGGCTTTTTTATGGATATGACAGTTGGGTGGCCGAAGGACGGTTATACACATGGGAATGATGGGAATGATGATGCAAATGAGGGGGACAATGAGAGTAGATTTGAATTTGAATAGGGCAGGAGGGATAGAGGTAGTTTTGCATAAGTAGGGGTTGCATAAAAGGGGAGAGAGAAACGCAGACAGGCTAGATTCCCTGACTGTCTGCGTCTCTGCAACGGGCGCCGCGCCCTCCTCCTCCCCCTTTCTCTTGCTGCATGGCGCCTCCTCGTGGCGAAGTGGGTAGCGCTTTCGCTTTTGGTTTTCAAGGTCACGGGTTCGATTCCACCTGGGCTCAAAATGTTTTGTTTTTTCCCTAGACCCTCCCAATGACCAAATTCAATTTCCAAAACCGCAAAAAAACGCTTCAAAGTATCCTCATTAGCATTTTACCTGTCTTCTTACCCTGTCTTTACCCCGGTCATACAAATATGACCCCCCTAGTGCACACGCATTCCTCTCCTTGATATCTCTAAAGAACCGTCCGTCTTCTCGGGGGAGAGTGATGGACCATTACATTTGTTTGCTCACCCTCTTTGTAACTTTAGGCACCCCCCGTGTTTGTGTTTGTAGACAGGAAGCGCTCCAAAAAGAGGTTTGAATAATGCCTTGGGGTGAAAAAAAAACTAGGGGAAAAGGTTGGAAGAAAATGTAAAAAAAAATTTGGCACCGGGTGGAATCGATCCCAGGTCCTTGAAAACCAAAACCTAGCGCGCTAGCCACTGCGCCATTGGGTCAGCTGCGGGGTCGGTAAGAGAGGGGTTTAAAAGAGGGCGCCGTGGCGCAGTGGCTAGCGCTCTTGGTTTTGGACTCCAAGGTCCTGGGTTCAATTCCACCCTGCGCCGAATCTTTTTGTTTTTTTTTTCCTCATACTCATTTTTGATCTATTTTTACCCGGACACTGGAGAAAACAGTAAACATCAAATGCCCATTTATTCCAGGTCCCAAGTTCCATATTTTTTACAAATTCCCAGCCAAATCCGTAAGCACTTTATCGAGTTGGGGCGGAAGACAGCACTCCATTTGAGCATTGAAGAACGAGCGGAGCTTATTGAGCTCCGTGAGCCAGAAACGAATATTGATTTGGAGAAGTGGTGGAAGATTGACCAATGCACTCAACTCCAGATTCTTTGGCACCTTTCCAACTCCAGATGATACCGTATTAGAGGTGTCCGATGGGTTAGTACATCTGAAAACAAGGAAAGTTGGGTGCCCTTGTATTAAAGGTTTTCTCATAATACCTTCCATAAATATACTCAAACACTTTGGCATTATCCACACCTCCTGGCCAAATCACTTTTCCGTCAGCCTCCTGATACAAATTGGTGAAGAATATTTGTGGCGGGACGGGTGAGTCGTAGGATTCAGAGCTCTCCGCTGACGGTGTCTTGACACCAATTCCCATTTCCAGCCAATGATTCACATACTTTGCAAAACTGAAGTTTATGGAATCCGGACGAAGCATTGGGCACTCGACTAGTTGTTGTTGAGCGGGGTCCGTGGCGGAAGTACCTGCAAGGGAAACTTTTATTTGAATCGATGGAGACTTTTACGCTAATCATTTTTTCCTGCTAAAGTTTTTCTCTACGTGCTCTGCGAATCGAGATATAGCCGTTTGAATTTAGGTGATAGACGCAGAGAGGTTAGAGTGTCTAACTGCCTGCGTCTCTCCAAAAGTCAGAGATTTGTGAGCTGATTGCTTGTGTTCCTTTTGCTGTTCAAGGAAACTATAGAAACAAGATCCGAGGCACGCGCGCTGAGACGCAGAGAATCAGACACTCTAGCCTGTCTGCGTCTCTCACCTAATTTCAAATGCCTATATCTCGGTTCGCAGAGAAGATAGAGGAAAATGGAAAGAGACAAAAATGATCGGCATGAAACCCTCTATCAGATGACACTAAGCTCGACATTTTCGAATCTGAAACTCTCTACTTACCTTCCAAAGATCCACTCTTCTTGGGCATGGCAACCCTTATCCCAGCCGCCAAACAAACTCCCTCTTCCCACGTATTCGCTTCCAGAATCAACGGATATTGATCGTGTCTCTGATTGGCGAAGATGTACGCAGAAATAGGGACGCCCACATCCCTCTCCCATTTGGTTTTCTGTGGATTGAATCCCTGAATTTGATAGTCCTGAATGGATCCGGAGAGCAGATTCGAGAGATTTTTCTGGGTGCCCATTTCCTCCATCTCATCATTTTCTGGGGAGAATGCGTGCATTTTTCCATTGTGCCAATGGATCCAAACTGATTTTTCACAAATCACATCGATCTGAAAATGAGAATGGAGATTTTATAAATTCTATTCTAATAGAAGCGCACCTTCCATCCGTTCGCCAATCCAGCTAACAATTGAAGACTCTCCACTGGTGTCATACTACTGTAGCACACGTTGATCGTTTCGTTTTTAGTATCTGAAAACATTATGGGATGCCCTAGGAGTTAAAAAAAAACTCACTGGTAATCGCCAAAATCGCCGCCTGCTCCGCCAACCATCCCCTCTTTGCACCGATCCACGAGGCAGCATGGATTGAGAAGGTCTTTCCGAATCGTGGAGTCCTTCCGAATGGATATCCGTGAGCCCATACTTGTTGCTCATCATGCTTCAAAACGATAAAACTTCCAACGGGAGGTTCTGGAGGCGATGGAAAAACGATACGACGGATGATGGGACGAGGCATTCCGATGGAGTGAACACTTCGAATGAAATTGGTGCTGGAGGCGATGCAGTCCCAGACACTGGGAAGGACTCTGGAAGTAAAGAGGATTAGTGGGCACAGAGACGCAGACAGTCAGACATTCTAGCCGTGTCTGCGTCTCTTCCTGAACTTCAAACTGCTATATCTCTCTTCATTGAAGAAATAGAGAAAACTGGCAAGAGGAAAACGTAATCAGCTTGAATTTGTCTATCGAATGGTAGCAAAATTCGGCTAAAATTGGCAATTTTTTTTTGGAAAGTATTCAAAAAAAATCTGCAATAAGTTTGGTATCTTCTGAAAAGAAAACTTCATGCTGATCATTTTGTCTATCGCAGCTTTTCTCTATCTTCCCTGAACGCCGAGATACGGCCGCTTGCAAAGATCGCAAAGAGTGGACGGAGAGACGCAGAGAGTCAGACACTCTAGCCGTGTCTGCGTCTCTCCTCGAACTTCAAACGGCTTTATCTCGGTTCACTGAAGAGATAAAGAAAAGTGCCAAGAGGAAAATGGGATCGGCTTGAAATTATCTATTGAATGGTCTCACAATTGAGGTAATATCAGCAATCTAATTTTTTCTTTAACAAAAATCCGAAAACCACAATAAATTCGATGCCAATCGATAAAGAATTTTATGGTGATCATTTTTGTCTCTTGCCAATTCTTTCTATCTCCTCTATGAAGCGAGTTATGAGCGTTCGAAGTTAACCCAGGAGACGCAGACATGGCTAGAGCATCTAGCTGTCTGCGTCTCTCCGCGCGCCCAACTCATGTCAGGCAGAGACGCAGACAGTCAGACACTCTAGCCTTGCCTGCGCCTCTCTCCTCTTATCTTTACCCACCTAAAAGAACATCTCAAATTCAGCACCAACACCGGATCATCCGTAATCTGAACTCCGACAATCGAATGCCGACTTCCAATCCATCCCATCGAGAATGGCACCACATACATCGTCCTTCCACTCATACACCCATCAAATCTCTTCTCTTTCGCAAAATCGAAATGTTTTCCAGTCATATAATGAGAACTCAGCCGGACATTCTCCATATTATCCGTCGAAGTGGATTTCGACACGTGGATGTTTGTGGAGGACGTTGTGGTGGAGGAGAATGTTCCTGGATCTGCATCCATACGATCCTTGGTGATGACGTGGATGTCATCGAATCCAATATCATTCATTTTGAAGTGAAGACGATCCAGAACTTTCTGCTCTTCACTTCCAAACTCATTTCCAATGGAATCACGAAGTTCTTGTGCTTCGAAGACACTTCCATTACAGATTCTGATGGTGGATGGGGTCATTAGTTGAACACATTCATTCAGAAATATGGATACTTCAGGGGAGAGACAGGAGAGGTCTCCTTTGACCACGGGGATCTGTCCGTATCCTGGGACTACCATGGTGTTGGACTGACGAGGAACGATGAATTGGCATACCTCGTTGACACGCTCACGAGTTTGGGTACTTGGATATTCTGGAAGTTTTCATTTGATTGGTCTGTCTGTGTGTCGGTTCGTCCCTCTGTGCTTAATTTCCACGTCTTCACGGTTCCCGTACCCCCCCCCCCCTCTTCCCTCCCTATTACAGTCTTGTAACTGCCCTCTCCTCTCTCCCACTCCTGCACCCCGTGGCCTAGTGGCTAACGCCCTTGTTTTTGAATTTTAGGGTCCCGGGTTCGATTCCCACCGTGGCTAAATCTTTTTTGTTTTTTTCCTTCCCGTATCCCCCACTACTAGAACTCACTGCATGTTGGACAATCCGTCTCTTTCGACATTTTTTGCATGGAATCCAAGAAAAATTTAAGAACTGATTTTATTATTTTGTTTATGGGCGACGTGGGTTTTTCTTTCAAAGTGAAGTTTTTCAAAAAGGGATGGCCAGGGTGTCACGGATTTTCGATTTCAACTACTGTTTTTATCCTCACTATAAAAAACCCTTGAGCAGTGTTTTCCAAAATTTCAAATTTCCCGGCATAATATCCAGGCCTTCACAAAACTTTTCAGGGGTTTGCCCTTTTTTTGTTTCTGACCTAACACCTGAGGGAGAATCTTGGCATAGAACTCTTCATAACTCAAAATGAGAAATGAAAATGACAGGCATAGAATGTAAGATTGTTTTTATCATCATGTGAAATTACATGAAAATTGTGCCATGCATACATAAGAACATGTACACAGAAAAAAATGTAATTGAAAATTTGAAAACGATCGGATACAAACTGAACGAAGCAGGGTCAAATCCGGACTCACATACGGAATAGAAGTATGAAAATGTGAAATAGAATTACACAGAAATAAATAAAAATTAATTAATTCCAGACAATGAAAGCGAATTTATAATAAGAAAGCATCAGAGTCGCCATCTTTTGATCAGTCTTCCGTTCGAAATCAATAAAAGCTTCATATTCATTTCCAGACAAATCAATTTTCTCCCGTCCGTTGCGTTCGGTTGCTCTGAAAAAGGTACATTTACTAGAAAATTCGAATCTTCACCAAATTTCGAAAGTTACCTTGACCAATATTCATAAACCGTCGGACGATCCCATTGCTTCGCCAAGTCATTCAACTCGTCGAGAATCCACTCAATGATCAGATATTTATCGAAATTCGACATTAAAAAAACCTCCAAGTTTGAGTATTTCTTTCCCGAAATCCAGTTTTTTACAAAATTCAAAATGTGGTTTGTGTGGAATCTTGCTCCCGATATATTTAGGTATCGTCCTTTAAAGTTTTTCCTGAGATATGAAGCCCTGTAGTAGTAGTGGCTGTCAATAAAAACATGTTCGATATTTAAGAGTTTCGGGTAGGCAGGGATTTGACCACTGAAACATCCGTCCATTCGAAAACTTTTCAGATTTGGATACTTTTCTAATACATCTTCCAACTGACTCGGGCGGATTATGAGATTATGCGATATCCACAAATCGGTCACTTTCGAAATATTCGGATAGTGTACATCCGAAAATGTCTTTTTCGACACCTCTAAATCGATGTACTTAGCAGTGAATAGTTTATGAATATGGTTGTCCAAGGCTTGTTGAAGAGCTTCACTGTTTGTTGTATAGAAATACTCGATACCATCACCTTTCCAGCTGCAAGAATTACATACAGTAACGAGAATGGGGGGAAGGTACCTCTGTACAGATA